CCCGGAGCCAGGGGCTGCTCTCGGTTCCCACATTGCATCTCCAGTAGCCTCTTTCGGTTCCTTGGCCTGTTAAAAGGAGCACGTTTCTGTCCCCGGCATCCAGGGGAGACTAAACATAGTAGAGACGGAAGTGGCTGAGCACATGCCACCTGCTGTCCTGGGAGCACAGGGCAGCTCTCCCCTGGAGGGGGCCACTGCCCACTCGGCAGGTTTGGGGAGGCTGCAGGAGACAGGCCTGCCCTGGCTGGGGCCGGAGCAGGGGGCACATACCCACAGGAGGGAAAGCCGCCCATCAGGTTGGCCCCGTGGCCCTGTCCCCAGGCCTTGGCAGAGGGCCCCTCCCGGTGAAGTAGCTGCTTCTCCTTTCTTGGCTGCCCTCGCCCCCCCCCCACCGGGACCTTCTGCTGATGTGTCTCCTGCAGACCAAACGTTTGCCCCGCTCAGCACTGCTTAGGGCTGTCTGCCTGAACCAGAGCCTGCCTGTGGGGTCCTGTCCCTTTCAGAGCCCCTTTTCCTGAATCCCGCTGGGGGGCTGCATGGAAAGAGCCAGTGCAAGTAGACACTCACTAAGTAAGGCTCAGATTGCCACCTAAACCGCCACAGACTGGGAAGCTCACCCGGCCCGGGAGGGGCCGGTGGGTGGCGGTGGGGGGGGGGGGGTGACTTCCCCTCCAAAGTCAGGCCCCTGGTGCAGGAACCCTGCCAGGAAGGAAGGTGGCAGGAGGCCTGGAACCACTGGGCCTCTATTAGGGAAGGACTTGTATATGGCCTTTCTGTGCCAGCTCTAACTTTTGCCTTGGTGGCTGTCCCTACCCTTAAATCCCACGAGCTGGCATTGGATAATTGCTTCAGAGGGTTCCTTTGCCAGCCTCAGGAGGGCCGTATGTAGAGTGGAAAGAGTTGCAAGGCTTGGAAGCTATGGGATTAGGTGAGTCATGGGCCTCCCCAAGCCTCAGGTTCATCTGTAAAATGGGTGTCATTTCCCCACCTTCCACCCAGAAACAAGGGATCCACTGAGGAAGATTTTGCAATACTTAGATGAGAGGGCTCGTGACTGTTTATTACCAACCGCTGTGACACCCAGAGAGTGGAGAAGCTCTGTGGCCCTTCCAAAGATCCCAGGCAGGAGAAAGAAGCTGACTCACCAGGCTTGACAAGCCGGGGGCGCCAGAGGAAGTGGCAGAGATTGTGAGGGGGATGGGACGCACAACCGGTCAGTCCGAGGGAGCTCCATCAGCCACATCCTCAGTCTGTCCCCACCCCCTGCCCTCACGTGGTTGTGCACGCTTCTCAGAATGCTGAGCTTTGAGTTTGGCCATGCCAGAGTGATTCACCCCCAGCACGGGGAGCCCACACCGCCCCCTCCACCGGCCTGCCGAGACCCCATCTAAAAGAAGCCAGTCTCCGCCAACAGAAGGCGTCTACTCATGTAGCGTGAGCCGGACCCTTGCGGGGTCCCACAGGCCTCCTGCCCATGAGACCATGGCTTTCCCTTAGGGTACAGTATCTAGAGAGAAGAGAGGGCCCATCTGCAGAGCTGACCTCTCTCCACTTCAGCGAGGGGAGTGGGAAGAATCTGGAATAAGAAGGTGATGGGAGAAATTCAGGTGCTGAGGAAGGAGCACAGAACTGGAGGAGGAGGCCCCTGGGTGCTGGCCTTTCCTCTGCACCCGAGGAGCCCCGTGTCCCTCAAGCCAGCCCTCTCTGGTCCCCGGGTTCTTTGTCAAATAAGGTGCTTCCTGAGATGATGGTTGCGTTTCTTCTCCTGTATCGGCACGTGTTGGCCCTGTGGCCCCTCCAGCCGCCCCTGCTTCAGCCAGCAGGGTGGGTCACAGAGAATGCTCCAGCTTTAGGGCTGGAGCAGAGCAGGCAATGTTGACCCAACACGAGGGGTGAGACTCCTGCTCAGTAGAAGGGAAAGAGGGAGAAGGGGCAGAAAAGGACTTTCATTGACTGCCCGCCATGGGCCACCTCTTACATATCTCCTATTATTTATTGCTTTTGACAGTTCATCAGTATTGGCATCATCATCCCTATTTTATAAATGAGAAACCTATTCACTTGTCCTACCTATGAGGCTCAAAAGTCGTGAGCTTTCCACATATCCTGCCGCCTCTTCAGAAAGCATGTGAGCAGTTGGGTTTGGCGCTAGACCCGGCCCTTTGTGAACTGTGTGAGTCTGAGCCCGGCTCCCTCCACCCCTCCACCCCAAGCCCGCAAGTCCCCGCATGGAAAATGAAGTACGTGAAGTGCTCAGCACAGGCCTGGCACGAAGTCAGTGCTCAGTGACTTGTACCTTCCTAAAAACATGTAGTGAAGCGTTTTGCAAACAACAGCCCCACCCTAGGGGCCGTTGCTGTCATCCCCCCACGAACTGGAGCTGGTTTTGGTCTCTTGTTCTGTGCTGTCTGGGGTCCACCTGTGCCGACACAGTGAGCTGAAGCCTGTCTCAGGACCAGGACGAGAAGCCTGACTCCAGCCCTAAGTGCCTGCAGGTCTGAACTCTTCCCTGCCTGCAGAGAGGCTGGGCAGGGCCGCTGGTCCTGACACCCAATCCCTTGGGCTGCAAGCCTGCCCTGAGCCTTCAGATACAAGAGGACTCCATTTCCCAAGCTGGGAACACTGCCAGCCCCAACTTGTTGAGGCAGACCCACCCCTTGGGGAAAGCAAAGAAGGCCTTCGGGGCAGGAGGGGGAGCTCAGCATCTGCCTTACAGCCGGCTCTGCGCTCGCTGCCCACCCCTGGGGACAAGCCTGGCCGGCCCCACCAGCAGGTGGCATCTCACCCAAGTGGGCAATTAGGACCCAGAGGACGTTGCCTCTGGACTGTAGTACCTGCCTATTTGCTAGGTGGAGTCTGGCAGTCCCATTTATCCGACCACAAAATGTTGGAGCTTCCGTATAGTAATGTGCCAGGAGCTGGGGGTCCAGAGGTAGAGAAGTTGCTGGATGCTGAGCTTCCACTCTCTTAAGTGATAGTGACTCTGGAACACACAGTGAGACATGTGAGTTGTCGTTGCTAGAAGCTGCATAGGCAGTCACCCAGGGGGAGTCCCGGGAGATGGCTCTACCCCTAGATCGAGGCGGGGGGTGGGGGCACTTCGTGAGCCTACCATGTATGCTGGGTGTAGTACCATGATGAGGAAGGGGCTTGCACGCATGCCCTCACCCTGAGCTTCTGGCTGACCTTCACGGACTTGGCAGGACCTCCCTCATTCCTCCTGGCAGAGCCCTGGCTCCAGCTCCAGGAATTTCCATCTCTGACTTGACCTGGGGCAGTTGGCTATACACCTTGGTGAAGCCTAACCTCTTTACTCCTCCTCGCATCTCCTCTGTTACACTTGGGTGCCTCACCCCCAGGTCCTCCCAGAGTGAGAGTAGTCCTTCCTGCCCGGGGATCCAAGAGCCCGAACTTGCCGCGAATCGGACAGAAGTGAGACCTCAGAGAGCCGGTGGTTTCTGTAGTGGGGGCTTTCTTTGCCACATTGGTACTGGGACTGCTCACAGCCTGGTCCCCTGACCCAGATTTCTCCCTACATTTCCAACCAGTCCTGTCAGAACTCCCACCCTTCAGCTCTCCTCTGACCCTCACCATTCCCAAGAGCCACAGGCCCTCCTACCTGCCCCTGTTGGCATCTCTGGAGTGCCGGGGTCTCCCGCTCATTCACTGCGAGATAAGTTTGCCACAGTCCTGTTTTGTTCACTGGCCCTGGGGTGTGGTCAGATCAGTGAATGGATGTGGTCTCGCCCTCATGGCTGCCCAGGAGCTCTACCTGCCCTTCATGCTGCCAGCATCCGGGCCTTATGCCCTTGCCCCGGGCTGTGGGAAAGAGCTCCCTGGTCCCCTCCTCAAACTCAGGGCAGAGAGAAGCCAGGGTTAGCCAGGATCTTTGTCAAACCCAGGCCCTAACCAGTGGCCCATACTTGTAGCACTGTGGAGGGCACAGGAAACAAAAGCCTCCCCTTACCTTTTGGGACCTTGGCCTTGTTGCAGAAATGAGCCAGCAGAGTAGGGCTAGGTACTACCGTGTGGTTGCTCTTGTCAGACATTGCAAGGAAGGACATTTAAGAAAAAGAAAGTCCTGGGTCTTGCAGTTTACAGACAGCCGCCACCTATGCGTGGGGTGCTACACAAGGAGCAGGTCCATGGCCCGCAGGACATTGCCCTGGGTCTGCATTGGCTTGAGTCAGCTTGTGATATGACAGACGCGGTTGAAGCCATGTCGACGAACAGCAGGATATGCAACATGAGGGGGGTGGGGGTGCCCTCCTGCCAGGCTCAGTCCAAGCCAGATCACCCAGCTCTGGGCCCGGGCCCACCTGCACGCTTCCAGAAGTCAGCAGCCAGGGGACTAAAATGTTAGGAGGAGCTGTGGCTCTTTAGGCAGGAGATGAGAAGATTCAAAAGAAGGTGGAAAAGTCTCCAAATATCTAAAGGACTTTCAAATGGAAGAGGTTAGACTAGACCTCAGGGACACGACAAAGCCCAGCAAAAACGAAGTTCGGGGGCGGGAGCTGTAGTGCACGGACGGCAGACGGTGCAGAATGATTGGCGGTAGCTGCCAGGGCACAGGGCCGTGAGGGGTCCTGGGCTTGTGTCTGGGGTTGCTGGGGAAGCACGCCACACTCGGTTATGCCATCTGCCAGGGTGCCGGCTGGGCGTGCCCTCTGCTAGAGCCACACACTTGCCACCTGCTTTACAGTCAGTGCTAGAAAGACCCTCCAGACCCTTCAGGTGATATGAAGGTGACCGGCTGCTCTCTGCCAGGCAGTCATTTCCCAGGGCCCAGATGCCCTCGTAGATCACAGGCGCCTGGTATTTTTCGTGCCATGGGCCCCTTTGACAGTCTGGTAAAGCCTGGAATGTTGTTTTAAAATATGCAGATAAAGGATAGGATTACAGAAAAAGCCACTTATGTTGAAGTAAAGTTATCAGAACATTGAAAAATCCTATTTGTGATAGAGTAATATGTGTGTATATGCTTCTTAACACAAAATGATAAGCAGTAGGTCTAATTGCCGTAATTTTGTAGTAGCGATGGATGTAATTGGCACTTCACAGTATCCGCAAGGACTCCGATGGGCTGGTGAGAGTAACTGTGACTTGTGCGTGTGACAAAGTCACAGGTACTGCGGGGCTACGTTCCCAGTTTGAGGAAATGCTGTGTTTTGGCTAAAAGTTTCTAGGCCCCCGCTTCCTGTCCACGGTCCCAGATGAAGACTTTGTGCTGTGGAATCCGGCCCCTTCGAGCAGGAGTCTCATGCTGGGCCAAGTCCCCTAAGTCTGGCCTCTTGGCTCTGAGAGGAGCCAGCTTGTCCACAGGCCCCAGAGCCAGGCTTGCAGAGCCCGCACGCGCCCGAGGATTTGACCTTCTCTCTCTCTCCGCTGCAGGTGGGCAGACAACTTTGTGGCCCCGGGCTGCGGAGGGAGCAAGGAACACAGCTTCCAGCATCCCTTCCTTCAGGTATCTAGCCCCGTCCCTGCCTCCCCACCTCTGACCACCCAGGCCTCAGGTCACGTGTGCCCACCAGGCCCTGCTGCTTCCTGACCCAGGGTGGCGCCTTCCCCTGCTCCCGGGAGAACCATCTCCTTCCCTCCCTCCCTCCCCAGAACAGACGCCAGGGTGTGAGTGCCGGTGGAAGAAGGCAGAGGGCACAGCCCTCTCTGGAAGGCCTGCGTAAGTCCTGGTGAGCAGTCCTGCCCCGGACGCCGTAAGGCCAGCCCTCCCACGTCCAAGTCAGGACACATTTGGAAAACATCAACCCCAGGAGCAAAGCCCGCTCTGCACCCATGGGCAGCCCGGACTCCTCTGGGATAGAGCAGACACCATAAATGGAAAGCACCTTATTGCTAGGCTGGGAAGCGGGAGGCTAGTATTTCAGCCCCAGCTCTGCCAGCAGACTTGCTCTGTGACCTTAAGTAAGTTCTTAACCCTCTCTGAGCCTCTGTTTCTCAATCTGGAGCTTGACCAGAGGTTGGCCTACCCTGATGGTTTTCAGACCAGCTGTACACAGCCTTAAGGTTCCCATCAGGATGTTTCTAGAGCTGAGGGCTTAGACCTAGGAGGTAGTGTCTGGCCTTTCACACACAGTAGCTCTGCTTTTGTCTGTTGGACGCATCAAGTTATAGATAAGCTTTTGTTTGAAGAAAGGCTGTGTTAAAATTTTGTCAAAGGTGATTCTCCTTCCAGCTCTAAACTTCTAGGGTTCTGTCCCCTGCAGGCAGTGGGCATGTTCCTGGGAGAGTTCTCCTGCCTGGCTGCCTTCTACTTGCTCCGGTGCAGAGCTGCGAGGCACCCAGAGGGCAGCATGGATCCCCAGCAGCCCTTCAATCCCCTTCTTTTCCTGCCCCCAGCCCTCTGCGACATGACGGGTACCAGCATCATGTATGTGGGTGAGTAGCTGGGCCAGGCTGAGAAGGGCCCGAGGGGCCACTGGTGAAACAGCCACCCCCACCCCAGTTCATCTCACTTCTGCCCCACTCCCACACTTACACACACACACACACACACACGCACGCACACAAGATTTACTGAGTACATACTATGTGCAAGGTGTGTCTTCAGCCCTGAGGACACCTCAGTGAAAAGATAGCCTCGGCCCTTGGGAGCTAACATTGTGTGTCTCTCCTCTTCTAGCCTTGAACATGACCAGTGCGTCCAGCTTCCAGATGCTGCGGGGAGCAGTGATTATATTCACAGGCCTGTTCTCGGTGGCCTTCCTGGGGCGGAGGCTGGCGCTGAGCCAGTGGCTGGGCATCCTTGCCACCATCGCGGGGCTGGTGGTCGTCGGCCTGGCTGACCTTCTGAGCAAGCATGATGATCAGCATAAGCTCAGCGAAGTGATCACAGGTACGACAAGGGCCAGGGACCCAGGGGCTGCCCATCCTGTCCTGTCCTCCCTGGGAGCCAAGCACAGAGTCCGTCAACAGACTTTTGCAAGCTCTTCTGTATGCCAGGCCCTTGGTGAGGGCACATGGGGGACCTACAGGCCGACTTGGGCACGCACCTGCTCTCGAGGTGGCGGATAGAGTGCACAGAGGCACAAGCAGCATGAGAGACGGGTGGGCTAAGGAGGGGAGGTCAGGAGGGAGAGGGTCTGTGCCATGATAAACACACAAACTACTGGGTCTGCGAGAGGAAGGGAATGGATGTCTCTTGAGCGTTTACTAAGTACCCAGCCCGGCGTGAGTGCTGAAGGTCATCATCATAGTAATCCCCACATCCCGGAAAGGAGGCCTTGCAGCCTCTTCTATGATGATGGGACCCCTCTGGTCCTCCGAGGACGGACTAAACCAGAAATGTCTATCACAAAGGCTTGTGCTTCTCAAAAGACCTGCTTATCACCCTGTTGTGCCACTCGCAGTCCCAGGCAGGCCTCTGGGCCTTCTGGAGCCTCGGCCCAGAGTGGTGACAGTGCCTGCCCTGCAGGGCTACCCCACCCCTCAGGGACTAGGAAACCAGGCATAGGACTGTCATGATTGCGTCATAAACTGTATGGTGCCCTGCAAAAGGCAGGGGCTGTGGGGGTGGTTGTGTCCCTGTGGGAGCCGTCTAACCCTGCACTGGGCCTGCCACCCTGCCTCTGGCTCCACAGCCATCCTCCATCCCTGCCCCCCGACCCCGTGCAGCCCAGTCTCACCCTGGCTCACTTCCCCCACAGGGGACCTGTTGATCATCATGGCCCAGATCATCGTCTCCATCCAGATGGTGCTAGAGGAGAAGTTCGTCTACAGGCACAATGTGCACCCACTGCGGGCAGTTGGCACTGAGGGTATGTGAGCACGGGGGCTGGGAGCAGGGCGCTGCTGCCGGGACACCCCGGAGGGCAGCACGTGGAGGGGACACACAAGCAGGAGCACGGGGCAAGGTGCCAGGGTCCACGGGGAGGGGGTGACCCCCCCCATTCCTCCCTCCCTTCACCACGTGTGTGTTGACAGATACTCTGACGCCTGCCATGCACAGAGCCAGGAGCTAGGGGGGCCGAGGTGGAGGATGAAGGGGATACATGCCCCACTGTAGAGGAGTTGGCCAGCAAGAAAGGACCAGACAGCGCATTTGGGCTCAGGCCACTTGTGCTCAAATGATGTGTCACTTGCCAAGCACATCTGAGTGTCTTTAGGACAGGGAAGGTGGCATTTGAGCTGCAACAGGAGTGGGAAGGAGGGAACTCCAGACAAAGTGAAGACGCGGGGAGCTGGCCATGAATGTGGAAACCGGTGAGGAGTAGTTGGGTGAGATATGGGTTTGATGTTGGGACAGTGATCAGGAAGTGAATGGGTCAGGGTCTTATCCCGGAGAACCTCGAACATCCGGGAAGTTGATTAGACTTTCCGTGATGGGCAGGGAGGAACCACCAAAGGTTTTTATTTTTTCATGTTTTATTTATTTATTAGACATAGTGTGCATATGCACATGCCAGTGGGGGAGGGGAAGAGAGAGAGGGAGAGAGAGAATCCCAAGGAGGCTCCGTGCTTCCAGCACAGAGCCCGATGCGGGGCTCCATCTCACGAACCATGAGATGTTCTGAGCTGAGATCAAGAGTCGGACGCTTCACTAACTAAGCCATCTAGGCCGCCTGGAAGCACGAAGGGTGTTTGAGCAGGAAAGTAACTCCCAAAACGGATAAGCTTTAAAGGTATGAAACCAGCAGGGCAGATTAGAGCAGTCCTAGCCAAGTGTGGCCTGCGGGCCAGTCAGGGAGCTGTGTGCGCCTGGCCCACAGGGCGCCGAGGGCTTCTGGCACAGTGTTAATCAGCTGGATCATCGACTAGTTAGTCAGCCACATCATCAAGAAGTTTGTTTGGATCCACTCATTTTTTTTTCTCCCTTGCAAGACTCTGAATGGAGCAGCGCATTGATTTACATTCAGATCCAGCTCCTGGTCACAGACCAATGGCACTGAATTAGAGAACGGTGTTTTTCCACACTTGGGAGAGCAGTGCAGTGGCGGCAGCGGCCATTCTTTTTTAAATGAATACCATAGAATTTAAAAGAGCCAGAGAACATTGCGAGGGTGGCTGTTGGTTTGTGAAAGTGCGCATACAAGCGTATCCGTGCCTGTGCACACATATACTGGTAACGATATAGCGCGTGTCTTACTCTGGGTCTAGACAGAAAACACGATTAAAGCGGAAGAGGGCAGCTAGAGCCCCCTCAGCAGGCCACTGTGAATTCCAGATGAGCAGGCAGCCCCAGGCCCTGCAGGGAGGCGCAGGTGTGAGGGAGGAGCTGGGAGGGGTGGCGGGAGGGACACCAGGGGAGCCCCTGCTGGGCGGGCTAAGCTGGGGATCTCGGGGTGGGCAGAGAGTGCCGCATACTTCTTCCACTCCCACAGGCCTCTTCGGCTTCGTGATCCTCTCCCTGCTGCTGGTGCCCATGTACTACATCCCCGCCGGCTCCTTCAGCGGAAACCCACGAGGGACGCTGGAGGACACGCTGGACGCCTTCTGCCAGGTGGGCCGACAACCGCTCATCGCCCTGGCGCTGCTGGGCAACATCAGCAGCATCGCCTTCTTCAACTTCGCGGGCATCAGCGTCACCAAAGAACTGAGCGCCACCACCCGCATGGTGCTGGACAGCCTGCGCACCATCGTCATCTGGGCCCTGAGCCTGGCGCTGGGCTGGGAGGCCTTCCACCCGCTGCAGATCCTGGGCTTCCTCATCCTCTTGATGGGCACCGCCCTCTACAACGGGCTGCACCGGCCGCTGCTGGCCCGCCTGTCCAGGGGCCGGCCCCCCGCAGAGGAGGGTGAGCACGAGAGACTGCTCGGCGGCTCTCGGACTCCCATCAACGATGCCAGCTGAGCCTCTTGTGGGTTCTCTGCTGCTACCTGGATGCGCCTTGTCCACCCTGAGGCTGAGGCCACACGGGCTGGGGAGCCTCCAGCGCCCCTTCCCTAAGGCCTCACCCTGCCCCTCCCCACAGACCCCCGGGGCAGCTGCTGCCACAGAAGACCACCAGACACCCAGGTCCTCCTCTGTCACCACCCCCTGCATCCCCCACAGGCCTGGGTGCAGTGACCCACTCCTGGCAGGCTCCCCCCAGCACCACCACCCCCCCTGCAGCCCTAGCACTAAATCATGAAGTGGGATCGCAGGAGCTAACAACCCTAAGATTTCCTCCTGAACCATAAGCTAAACGTGGTTCTCCAAAGAAGAGAGGTCAGTGAGCAAATTCAAACCAGAACTAAGCACCATATTTTCTAAAACGTGTAGGGTATTCCCTAACCCTGTCTGGAGACCGAAGTTTTAGCTGGGCTGTCCCATAAACTCAGCGAAAGTTCCCTCAGCCCATCACCTAGTTGCTCTGGGCCTCGGCGTCCTCCTGTAGAAAGCAGCGGGTGTAGACGCTGTGGCTTCGGTGCTTTCCAGACTCAGCTGGGCCCGTTCTGTGGGAAAGGAGTAATAGCCGCCCCTTCTTGGGAATTGTCCCTCTGCCCATGGCGCCTCCTCCCCATGCCAGTCCTGCTGTCCTTGCTCACACACTCAAGGCCTCCCTGCCTGGCAGAGATCATGAGGGGAGTTCCAGGCAGCCCTTAATAGCAGCTTTTATGATCTCTTCACCTTCCCTTTTAAAGATGAGAAAACTGAGGCCCAGAGATGTGAGTTGTTTGGCAAAGGGCTCTCTGGCTGTGGACTCTAGCCATGCAGCCACGTGATCCGATCTGGCAGCAGGCTGGGATCCGGAGCACATGGACCTCAGCCCCACCCTCAGCAACCTGACTCCACCGATTACCCTCCAGGGCGATGAATTTACCGGGACTCCACCATTTAAAGTAACTCTGGTATCCTCGGCATGTGTTAAAGGCTTAACTTTTGCATAACAGCCTGACAGGTGGATGCAGATGAGGAAACCGCTGGCCCAGAGAGGGTTAAGTGACTTCCTCACGGAGCCAGCTTTCCAAGCTAGGTTTGCCTGATTCCAAACCTACAGCCCCACCCACCTCACTGGTTTCTCTGGGCAGTTTTCCCATGGCTGGGTTAGAAGCTTCATGTGCTGTTGTCCTCCCTGTAACCCCACCACAAAGGGAGGGGACTGGCACTGGGGACCCCAGGGAGCTGAGCAGCCCTTCATTGCTGAGTTCCTCGCTCCGTGGCAGTTTCTGGAGCCTCAGACCATTTTTCTGGGCAGCTCCATCATAAAAGAAAACACCAAATGCCTTCCTTAAAATAGATTCTGGGGGAAGAGATATTTGACAAGCAAAGCCTTCAGGCAGTGTGGGAATCAGCAGGTTATTACGGTTTCTTGGGTGAGGAGGGACTCTGCCTATCAGCAGCTCCAAGTCCCAGGGGCCCCCGAGCTTCTGCAGGGAACAGTGTGTAATCAGAGAGTGAGTGTGCTGGGACTCCAGCTGCCCTGTCCAAAAAGCTGGGGCCTTAGAATGTTTTAGGCTTTATTTTTAAAAACAAAAGGGAAATGAGCAGTGTAAGCTCTTTTTTTATCTTATTATTTTTTTTTTAATTTTTTTTTTCAACGTTTATTTATTTTTGGGACAGAGAGAGACAGAGCATGAACGGGGCAGGGGCAGAGAGAGAGGGAGACACAGAATCGGAAACAGGCTCCAGGCTCTGAGCCATCAGCCCAGAGCGTGACGCGGGGCTCGAACTCACGGACCGCGAGATCGTGACCTGGCTGAAGTCGGACACTTAACCGACTGCGCCACCCAGGCGCCCCTTATTATTATTTTTTTTAATGAGAGGGAAGGAGCGCAAGGGTTAAACATCAGGCCTGCCACTGACCGGGGTGAATCACTTTACCTCTGGAGCTTGGGTCTTCACATCTCCCAAATAGGAAAACCAGCCTCCATCTTGCAGAATGAGCATGAAAATTACATAAGATAATAAATTGAAGGTGCCTGAAAGTGTCAACACACAGCGGAGCGTCCTGTAAGGCTGCGCTGCCCACCAGGGTGGTCCGCCAGGGGCACGGAAGTCCCAGCAGAGGCCCAGCACAGAGCATCGGTCTTGCTCAGAGGGGAAGAAAGGTTTTATTAAAATTCACCATCATGGAGGCCAGTGTAAAATCTCCATCTATTTTAAGACAGCAAGATGCCTCAAGAACATTTTACGGTGACAGTAGGTTCACTCTCTCCTGTTGTCAAGGATGCTTTGGAGGGGGAGTTCCCGAGGCTTTGCTGGTCATGTGGGTGGGAGGGTAAGGACCACCACTCTCACTGAAGCTGGAGGGTTGTGGGGAATATTTTCAGTGGAGTAAGGGGGTCCTGAATGGCGGAAGTTTGGTGTGAAGGCTCTGAACCCCCAAATCAGAATTGACTGATAACAGACTTCTGTAAACATCGGTTCAAACTGACGTTTAATTTAAGCGTCTGCATTGTGGTGGACTGCTCAGTCCATCCCCCTCGCAGGGTGGTCCTGGGAGAGCTGGGGGGGCAGGGGCTTCCTGCAGGACTGCCATCCGGGACCTGGAGTAGCTCTCAGGCTCCTCTCCTCCAGGAAGCTGCCCACAAGGCAGAGATTCAGGACCAAGCCAAGTGGTTCTGTTTTGTCTTCACTTTGTCCAAAGGTCTCTGCTACTTTAACAAGCAAACAGCATTCAAAGAGGTCAGAAGCTCTGACCCCTGCTGAGGACAGGAGGAGGAGTGGAGCGAAGGGCCACCTCGCATAGAGGAAAGAAGCAGAATCCAAAGTCAGAGAGCTGTGTCTCAGCCCCACCTCTACCTTGGCTGGGTGACCTTGGACACCCTCTCAAGACCTTAGCTACCTATAAAAAGGAGAGGTTCTCAGCATTGCCAGATATGTACACCTGCCTGACCTGCTTTACAGATTGACCTCGTTTCATAGTTGCCTTGGTTCAGAACCCTTCTGGCCTTATGTTAACTACATCCTTTCAAAACGTAAAAGTCAGCAAGGAGTTTCCCCTAGCTATAAAAGTTCATAAATCACCCTTCAAGAGTCTTTAGTAAAAGGATTACTATCCCAGAATTTACTGAACTGTGTTGAGAACTGATGTGCTCCAAGGACTGTGGGCCCATGAAAGAAAACAGAAGATGAATGTGGAAGGAAAGAATTCCAGCACAGCATGACGTGCATAAGAGGCCTTTGAGATACAGAGGAGGCAGTACCACTCTGTATCAGAATGGTGTTACAGAATGAGCAGGGAGTCTCCCAGGCCGGTGGGGTTGGAGGGAGCGGGTATTCCTGGAGAAAGGAGAAGCTTGTAAAAAGCATAGAAACATGCAAGTGATGTATTCAAGAACTGTAGGTAAGGAGACCAGTATGCCTGGCAATAAGCACGCAACACTAAAAGTGGCCAGAGTCAAGGTCAGAGAGGTGGGCAGGCGCCCAGATGGTGCTGTACATTTTAGACTTTGCTGAGGGATCAGGACTCAATCTGTAGACCGTAGAGTACCATGGGGAGTTTAGGCAAGGCAGTGACATGATCCAAATTGCTGTTTGGAAAGATCACTAAAGGTAGAGACAAGTAAAACAACATTTGATTATAATTAGAGTCTGAACTAGAGAAACGGTGGAGAGGATGAATACAAGAGCCAATCAAAGAGTAGGCTCACATTATAGAGCCCTTGGCTCTCGGATCTTCTGTCGCATAAGGCACCACCAAAGAGTGGGTCTTCTAGACCAGGCTGTTCACCCCATTCCCCCCACCACCAGTGGACCCACTGAGTATCCCCAGGTACAGCTCCTTCCCTTTTCTTTCCTTCCTTACTTTGCTCCTTTTCCTCCCCCGCCCCCCCTCTTTTTTTTTAATTAAGTAGGCTCCATGCCCAATGTGGGGCCTGAACTCACAATCCTAAGATCAAGAGTCGCACGCTCTCCTGACTGAACCAATCAGGTGCCCCCTTTTGTCCCTCCTTTTAAAAATTGTGGTAAAATACACACAACCTAAAACTGACCATTTTGAGCATTATTAAGTGTTCAATGGCACTGAGTCCGTGCACATTGTTGTGCAGTATCACACCATCTCCAGACTTCCTCATCTTCCCAAACTGAAACTCCATACCCATCAAACACTAACTCCCCATTCCTCCTTTCCCCTGGCCCCTGGCAACCACCATCCTACTTTCTATGAATTTCGTGAAAGTGGACTCATGTAAGTGGAATTATACAGTATTTCTCCTTTTGTGTCTGTTTTACTTTGCTTAACATAATGCCTTCAAGGTTCATTCGTGCTGTAACGTGTCATTTCCTTTTTAAGGCTGTATAATATCCCATTGTATGTATGTACCACGTTTTGCTTATCTATTCATCTATTTGGACATTGGGGGCTGTTGTGGGTAACATTGCTGTGAGCATTAGTGTACCAATACCTGTTCAAGTCCCTGCTTTTGAGTGTATACCCCGAAGTGGAATTGCTGGATCATATGGTAATTGCACATTTAGTTTTTTTGGCCAGTCAACATACTGTTTTCCACTATGGCTGCAGCATTTTACATTCCCACCAGTGAACAAGGGTTCCATGAAATCACTGATTTTATAATGACATTTTCCCCTGATTACGTGTTAACTGTAGAACGTTGAGGAAATGCAAGAAAACGTGTGGAAAATAAAAATTCCCTTTATTCTAACTACCCAGATGTACATTTGACCTGAATGCGTACTATCCTCGATAGTAAAGGGAAGGGAAAGGGGTCGTTTCTCTAGGAGGATTCCATTGCAGCGCTGGAGAGTGTGATCCAGAGCCCGGATCCTGGCTGCCCCGCGACCCCAGTCATCAATAACGTCCGTGCAGTTAAACTGGCTTCTGAACCATTTTCGTGGGGTGTTCCTGGGAGGGTCACAGGGGCGACATGTGGTTGTCACATTCTCGTGTGAATCTGCCTCCTCTTGTTTAAAAGCCACCTCAGGGGTGACAGGGCAAAACATAAATGTTTTGAGCAAACATTTGTCTGAGCAAAGTGATTTTTCTAGAGAAACGTGTTCTACTAACTCACCGTCTACATCTTCAGAATAGAGCTTTCCTTTTTGGACCATTGGGCACTCAAAAATGAGCACCACTACAAGCAAGCAGAAGGCGGGAGAAGTTCCCGCCTCCCTTCATTTCTCCAAGTTCCCATTGGCTGATTCCTACCGTCGAACCGCCACAGCCCCGCGCTCTCCTCTTATCACCGCGCGCCGCTAGCCTTCCGTCCTGTGCTCTGATTGGTCCTCTCCGCAGTCGCTCTGCGCCAGGGGCGTTCCAGAGGCAGCCACTGAGAGTTGCTGAATTCGGGTTTTAAAAAACGCCGCCAGTGAATCAGTGGTGCGGGAACTTGGAACCGCGGAGGCGCCGGGAGCGGCCGAGCACGCACCCCGCCGGGGCACGCGGCCAGGACGCTCCCGGGCTTCTCCCGGACGCCAGCCTCTGTCCCCGGACCCCGAAGGCCGAGAAGGAGCCGCGGGGCAGCCACCCTCCGCGCCCGCCATGGGCCCGCGCCGCCGGAGCCGCAAGCCCGAAGTCCCGAAGAGGCGCACCGCGAGCCCGACCCCCAGCCCCCCCCGGCGGGGCCCCTCCTTAGGTAACCGGCCGCGGCCCGTCGCCCTCGAGCAGCCGGGGTGAGGGGTGGGCACGGCCGCATCCGCGTGCCCATTTCACTGAGCAGAACACCAAGCTCGAGGGCGGAGTCCGGGGTCCGAATCTCCGGCTGGCGCTCCTCTGCGGGCGGGCACAGCCGCGCGGCCGGCGAGCATCTGCTCGGGCCGGCCCAGTCCAGGCCCAGCGAGGAACCGGGGAAAGCAGTTCCGAGGGGGAGAAAGGGCTGGCCCAGGCGGCCTGGCTCCTAATATTAATTCCTACCACTAGCATTTATGGAGTACCTACCACCAACTAGAGCTTGTGTTCAACTCTTTACGTGAATTACCTCAACTGTATAGTGTGCCCATTTTACAGACGAGAAAACTGACGCGCGGGCAGGCCGGGTAACTTGAACAAGGTCACACACGGCTTGCTCCAGCAGACAGCAGTTTAAAAAAATAAGTGTTTGTGCTTTTTTAAATTGCAAAGTTCTTGTCCGCTTTTTGTGACCATTTCAAAGAACTATTGTACTTTTAGAAGGTGCCCTTCCAGGTATTGTATGTATTTTTGTTTTTTTCTTCATTGAGGGCTGTGTTGGGCCTTAAGTAGAGTGCTCTCGCCTTGTTCTCTTCCTGAGATCATGGGCTGGGACGGAAGACTGGTCTGTGGTCCTGTTTCTGTACTGAGGTCTGGTGGGTGGCAGACCCACGGGGCGAGAGCTGTGCCTTTGTGGCAACAACTGCTTTACTTGTCTTCTGCCACATAGTTAAGAGCAGGGTGAAAAAAATATATTCTGGGTTATTTTCTTTCCTGAACGTTAATAACCCTTGCATCCAGGCAACTTGCTGACTTCTCTCGTTAGTTCTAACTAGCGTTCAGTTACTTCAACTGAAATGTTTAAGTAGGCTATTATATTACCTGCAGATAAGGACCTGAGTCTCCTTTTTCATTTTTACACGTTTTATTTCGTGGTGTATTGTACTATGGAGGCCCTGAGATTAGTATTGAAATACGAGCAGCGTTTTGGCCATCCTTGTCCCGTTCCTGATTTTAACAGGGTGCTGTTAAGTGTGTTTGCTGTTGCTTTGTGATATGGAAGCATCCTGCTATGCCTGGTTTATCTCCATGCTTCCTGGCAGTCCCCCTGCACTTGTCTGGCAGTCCGGCTCTTCCATTCTCCCCAGTGACTATTCCACACCTTTGTTTTTCTTCTTCAAATTCCTACAACTCCAGCCGCCCCCCGCCCCACTCACGCTCAGCTGATGATGACCTGGTCTCATGCTTGCCTCACTGAGGAAATAAGAAGCCTCCAGACTGGATTCCCTTGTCTTCTCACAGCAGAGAACCCACGTATCCCCTTCCTAGTAAAAACCACTCCTCCTACCTGGGCTTTTGGTCATATTTTTCTCTCTCCGTCCCTGGGCTTTCTCTTATCCTCTCCACCTGCATTTAGAATTACATTCTTACTCCCCACACTGGCATTCCACAAATGCTCTGTCTAAAGAAAAAGGGCAGGGGTGTTTCCTGCCCCTACCTTCCCTGCCTCTCGCATGCTCCCCATTTTTCTCTACTGCCTTTCATAGCTACGTTTTTTAGAAATAGCCAGATGTAAGAGTACACACACGTGTGCCTCCCCTCTTCCCAGGCACCCTTGAACCCATTCCAGTCTGACCCCCCACAACTACTTCCCTCCCTTCTAGTGCACTTGAAGTCCTCTTGTCAGGGTCACCAGCTACTTTAGTGTTGCTAAATCCAATAGACATGCCTGTGTCCTTTTCTTGCTCCGAGAAGCATTGGACACAGCGGGCCATTTTCTCCAGGAAACACTCTATCCCCTTGGCATCCGTGACCCACACACCCTGCAGTTCCTGCTTGGTGTATTTTACTGTCTGTGTCACCTCTTTAACAACTTGATGTTGGACTTCCTTGCTGTCCGGTTCCTTTCTCCCCACCCCCCCCCCGGCCCCCCATGTGGTCTCATCCCGTCCTGTGGCTCTGCATACCACCCCTACAGACGGCGCTCACATTTACATGTCCAGCCCAGATCTCTCCTCTGACTCCACATCCCTGTGTCCAGCTGCCTTTCTGCCTGAGAGCTCGTGGTTACGTCTGGCGCAGCCTATCTGAAGCTGAACTTTTGATTACTCCCTTCCAACCTCTGCATCCCTGGCTTTCCCCATTTCGGCAAATGGCACAGGCACGTTCCCCACCCGCAGCTGTTCAAGCCAGAACCCTGGGAGACATTCTTTTCTCTTGTCCCCATATACAAGTAAGCTCCAGCAATTCTACCTCCAGATCACATCCTTAATCGCGCCACTTGTCATCTCTGCTCCCACCAGCTAGTCCCAGCCACCAGCACCCTAACCTGACTGCACTCCACTTCCACTCTTGTCTCTTTTCAGTTCTTTCCTTACACTGCAGGTGGACTCCTCTTTAAAATGTAAGGACATCACCTCTCCGACTCCCTCAGCTCCCTGTTATTTAGGATCAAAACCCAACTCCTTATGTTGGCATTGCCAAACCCAACTGTTGAATTTTTTTTTGTTTTTGAAAGTAGGCTCCACGAAGGCACCTGGGTGGCTCAGTCAGTTAAGCATCTGACTTCGGCTGGGGTCATGATCTCGCGGTTCATGGGTTTGAACCCCCGTCGGGCTCTGTGCTGACAGCTCAGAGCATGGAGCCTGCTTCGGATTCTGTGTCTCCCTCTCTCTCTGCCCCTCCCCTGCTCATGCTCTGTCTCTCTCTGTCTCTCAACAATAAATAAATGTTTAAAAAAAAAAAAAAAGTAGGCTCCACACCCAACAAGGGGCTCAAATTCACAACCATGAGATCGAGATGCTCTACAGCTGGAGCCAGCCAGGTGCCCCCCAACTACTGAATATTTAATCCCAGTTCTTTCCCATGATCTTTAAGCAGTTAAAGATCATGGGATCTTTCCCATGATCATTTTCATAACTGCTTGTTCCAGGACATAGATTACATGCCTTCTCTTACCCCTCTGAGATTATTACATATATGGCTCTCAAAGTCTTTTTTCTCTATTCACTCAGATTCCTCCAGCATTGGTTATTTGTTGAGCTCGGTTCCTTCCGCGGTGTTGTCCTTCTTGCACGGGTGATACCTAGTTGTGCTAATCTTTCCATTCTCTGCAACTGCTGCGCCGGTCTGTTAAAGGCTGCCTCCAGATGACCGTGGATTGTGGACCAGTGGTCGGGAGAGGCAGATGCCAGCAGCTTGACTCCTGAAGTTGAGGCCTCCCTCTTTCTCCTAAATGTCCCCAGTCCCCTGGACACTGCCCCTGTTTCTCTGACCCACATTCCCCACCACCAGAGATAAAGTCTCCAGGGCCAGCTGTGTGGCACAGGCGTCTCTGGATTGTCTCACTGTCCCCATCTGCTCATGCAGCTCTTCTAACACTTTGTAATTAGTTCACTATGAAATCCCTTCCACAGAACTACTTGGTTTGCTTCTCTCTCCTTGACTGGACCTTGAATAACATTTCTTTTTTTTTTCTTTTTTTAATGTTTACTTATTTTTTGAGAGACAGAGACTGAGCACGAGGTGGGGAGGGGCAGAGAGAGAAGGAGACACAGAATCTGAAGCAGGCTCCAGGCTCCGCCCTGTCAGCACAGAGCCGGACGTGGGGCTCGAACTCACGAGCTGTGAGATCATGACCTGAGCCGAAGTCGGACACTCAACCGACTGAGCCACCCAGATGCCCCTTGAATAACATTAAAAAAGAAAAAATACATGAAAATGAACATTTTGAAGGAAATTTTATCCTTCAAAATGTTCATTTTCATGTTTTTTTTCTTTTTTTTTTATTCTTTGTTCAGCTTATGAGAGGTTCATTCATTTTTGTTGGTCCTTGTTTTTATTGACCTAGCAACAGTATTGTTTTTGTTTTATTTTCTTTTTCATTAATTTATTTTATTATCTTGAATATTTGGTTATCTTCTTTTGGTTTATTTTAATAATTCTGTTGTTAACACTTGAGTTGAACACTTAGCTGTCTTTTAACATCCTTGTTTTCTAATAGAGAATCAATCTGGAGACTGTACATTTTCTTCTAGTACTATTTAGCTGCATCTCATAAGTTTTGAGATGTAGACTTTTGATTCACTTCTAAATAGTCTAATTTCAGGGGCACCTGGGTGGCTCAGTCCGTTGAGCATCTGACTTCGGCTCAGGTCATGACCTCATGGTTCATGAGTTCGAGCCCCGCGTCGGGCTCTGTGCTGACAGCTCGGAGCTCGAAGCCTGGAGCCTGCTTCAGAATCTGTGTCTCCCTCTCTCTCTGCCCCTCCCCTGCTCATGCTCTGTCTCTCTGTCAAAAATAAATAAACATTAAAATAAATAAATAAATAAATAGTCTAATTTCAATTAAGTTTCCTTGAGTTAGAAGATTTTTTTTTCTTGTGTTTTTAATTTCAGATCAGAGAGTTTGGCTTTTTGACCTCTACTTTGGGGAATATTTTAAGGTCTTTTTTCTTTTTTGTTGTGGTTGGAACCAGGCCAAAGGCTCTGGCTCCATTAGCCCAGTGACCCAGCACTGGCACTGAGTTATGCCAAATCTGAGGTCCCTCCTTGGCCACACATAAGCTCTAGCTAATTGTCTTCACCTCTCAGCCTCAGGATAACCGAGACAGAGAGTTGTGCTAGGTAACCTCTCCAATTCCTTCCAGCTCTAAAAATAGACCTGAACACAAAATCACTGAGTTTCCAACCTAGATGGCAAAGATAGAAGAGATGCCCAAAGTACCAGGGGGCTCAGAGGAGGGAGGTAGCCTATCATTTTGCAAGGGCCTGGGAATCAGGAGAGGCTTCATGAAAGAGTTGGCGTTTAAGAGAATACCCTCAAAGGATCACGCATTCATTGAACAAATATTTGTTTGGCATCTGACTACTATTTCTAGTTGCTGAAGATAATGGCAGGAAATAATGGACCGGAATGCCCGCTTCTGTGGAGCGTACTACAGACTAGTGATTTGACAGTTTGCCTATCTCAGGCAGGCTGCGAGGCCCCACCTACTGACCACTACACTCTATGACCGAACTTTTTTGCTCAGGCGCTTCCTCCCGTCAGCGTGGTCCCCGGAGAAGTCGGGTTCTGAAGGAGATCCGAAAGCTTCAGAAAAGCACAGACCTGTTGTTAAGGAAGAGCCCCTTTGGCCGCCTGGTGAGCTCCACCAACCCCCGTGCTGCCTTCTTTCTCTAAATCCCCAAGGTATTGGGGACCTCATCATCTCTTGCCTGAATGCCTAGGGGTCCTCCCCTCCAACCTGGCAGAGGACTCTTCACCTTTTGAAAGCATGAATCTGCCAAGGGCTCCTTATGGTTCTTCATGGAATCAATTTCTAACCCTACCACCTCTGAAACCGTGTTCTTGGACTATATAAATAGGAGCCCTCTCATCCATCCCCGCTTTGATCCCTCTTCCTGCCCTGAGAGATTGCCTCCCCCTCTCCCCACCACCGATAGGAGACACACCAGTTCCTAAGCTCCCAGGAGTTGACACCGGCTACTGCTTAGGTTCTAAGATTAAGGGGCAGGAAGGTGTAATAGAAGTGAAGATTCATGGAAACTCATGGAGAGAGTCCGTCTTCGCTTGAATCTCTCTTCTTTAACTCTTCACTCCTTCCCACACTCCCCTTCTCCCTTACCCCCCCCCCCAACCATCCCCACTCCTTCACAGGCAAGAGAGATATGTGTTAAATTCACTCGTGGTGTGGACTTCTACTGGCAAGCCCAGGCCCTGTTGGCCCTACAAGAGGTAAGAAGGGGGGCCAAGGTATAGCTGGGTGACGATGGGAGAAAGGCACTCTGGAAATCCACGGGGCTGCCCAAGGAATGTCACGCACTGACTCTTGCCTCCTGAGAGAGAGCATCACGGAACGCCTGGGTTTGGAGGCCAGATCCTCATTTGCTGGTAGCCGGATTCCCAGGCAGGGTTCCCCCTCGTTCTGTGACGGTCTTTCACACAGTCCCGTGAGCCCTTGGAGACAAGGTGCAGCAGGGCTCCAAGAGAACAGCACCACATGCCCCCTCCCTCCCATGTGGCAGTCTTTGGACTTGTCTTTCTGCCCCCAGGCTGCAGAAGCATTTCTGGTTCATCTCTTTGAGGACGCCTATCTTCTCTCCTTACATGCCGGCCGCGTTACTCTCTTCCCGAAGGATGTGCAGCTGGCCAGGAGGATCCGAGGCATTCAGGAAGGGCTTGGCTGAGCTCCCGCCACCTGTCTCTGTAAGCCTTTCCTGCTTGCCAGAGAGAGCGCTCTCTGGGGAGGAAGCACCCAGCGTCTCATCACCGGGATGGGAGTTGCTCTGAAGGAGTTTCCATCCTTGGTCCCTTGCTGTCTCACCTTCCCTTTGTTCTCTAGGAAAGGTTTGACTTGGTTTTAGCTTGAGCGCTTGGGATTCTATGGCTCATGCGCTTTTGTACAACGTTGAATAAAGATCTTTATCTATTTAGTAATCACCAGGCGACATGAATCTGTCAGAGTTCAGCCTCTATCTCACAAGGACCAGATGACTCGTTTTGATTAAGAAGAGGTTTTCTTAACTTTTGAAAATGTCTTGTTTGGTGTCAGATGTGATGCCTGAATTTCAGGGATGATACCAGGGACTCTGTCCGGAGCCAAGAACCGATCCATGAAGTGCAAGGAGATGCCTGGACTTGTTTCGGAGAGGGGTACATGTTGCTTTTGTAACTGGTTGTTTTAAGAAGGAGAAGGCTACGTGGCTTTCCTCTGTAACAGAGGTGATCTGTGAGAAAATCAACATCATTCCAAATGACTCAGAGTTCTTTTTAGCTAATGAGACTCCAAGGTTCACTTTGGTTTGCAAATTATTCACATGACTGCTGAATGATTTTGAAGACCTCAGATTTTCTGGGTTATGGGAAAAAAGGATATTTCCTTATGGTTTTAGATCTTCCTGTACCGTTTAAATTTTTTGCCCGATGTATATTTACTTTTCTTTAAAACATAAGGGAAAAAAATAAAAGCCAACCGCTTCCATCGGTTGCAGGAAGAGCCGGGCACGCCTAGCACTTACGTCCCTGTCCCTCGGTTACTGTCATCATTAGCGGCGGCGGCCAGTTCTCGTGTGAGCTTCACCTGTCCGCAAGTGTGTAGCTTTTTAAAAACCCAATTCAGGTTAAAATAGGAAATCTTTAAGTTCTGACGTTCTGGTTCCTTTTAGCAAATTCCTATCAAAGCCATTCAGAAATTCTAGCTTTGCAGGTTTTATTTTATCCTTCTTTGTGAATCATAGAAGACGTGTCTTCATTTTTATACTTTAGAATTTGTCGTTCCAGGATTGTAAAGCGCCTTTTCAAAGTTTTTACAAGTGTTTCTTATAACTACTTTGCGGAGAGAGAATAAAAATTAGGCTAATTCTTTAATGGCAAAAATGTAAAGCAAAGTTTCAGTTACAGCGTATAGAGATACTACGTGTCGTATGTGTGAATGTTCAGTTCTTCATTTGTACGCTGTTTTGCAAGTAGCCACTCCTTAAACAAGAGAATTGAGGGGTGTGTTTTTGCCTCCCATGGAGTAGAGTATGTATGAGCAGATAAAAACGTTGCCCTTCCGTTGTCATAACTGAAAGCAGTGTAAGAAGTTTGCAGAGAAATGGAAAGCGCCACCAGTAGGCTTTTAAGATTTTGCGTGTGATGGAAATGATTAGCGAGGGTGGACTTCTGACACGGATATGCCTGGCAACCAAATTCCAAGACTGCTGAAGGGAAGGACCAAGTTCTATCACTGAATAAACTTTAGCCCTTTGGAAAAACTTCTTCCTGTTCAACATCAATTGCTATTTATGCAGACATCTGAATAACGCTTATCTGTCAATGAATATATTTAAAATGCTTGTCAGAGTATTATTAATTAGAAGACTGTCTCCTCTCTTAAATTGTACTAAGCAGGGTTGCCTGGCTGGCTCAGTCAGCAACGCATGCAACTCTTGACTTTGGGGTTTGTGAGTTCAAGCCCAGGTCAGGCATGGAACCGTTTTTCCAAAAAAAAAAATTTTTTTTTTAAATAAATAAATAAAATGTACTACCCAGGACACACATGCAACACTGGTCACACGCCAGGCAGGACCCACCAAGTAGTATTTACAGGGTAACACCAGAATAAGTAATTTAAATCATGATAATGTTATATAATAATGTTACAGTTTACTATAAACAGTACTTAACATTGTTGGAGTTCTGCGTTTGTTTTTCTGGGTGATTCCATCACCATCTTTAACCTTTCCGTTCGATTTTATTTCTGCTTTCACATTTTTAACGTCTAAGTACTCTTAGTTTTGTAAATATTTCTTTATTGTAGCATCCCAATCGGTGTTCACTCAAAAAGCAAAACAAAACAAAAAAAAACCCAGAAACCAGCCTGGATATTTCCAACAAAGAAGAACTTAGTGGAAAGGACTGGTTAAATAATACCAGGAGGGCTGGAAGAGCAGCCGGGAAGAGAGGATACTACCCAAAGATCAGGAAGCTGCTGGCATCCACAGCCCCCACCGCGGGTGCTCTGCCGGAAGCACCCCCACCAGCGCCATGGAAGCCGCACCTGCTGCTTACTGACCAGGAACTCGGGGAGCCCCTGCTCCATCCGGTGCTGCTGGAGCCACCACTGACCCCAAGGATGCCCTTCTCCTCTGCTGCTTCTGCCACAGGCCCTGCCAAACCGCAGAAGAAAAACCTCCCCTTTTTCCTCCCACCTTCCAGCCCCCACCAGCATCTTCCACTGGCAACCAGAAGCAGTCCAGGAGAGCCTGGAAATACAACTGGCCGCCTCCTAACCCCTCTGTGGTTCAGAGAACTCAAAAGGGCAAGAAGGGAGCTTGGAGCCTACAGAGACCTCATCTGCACAACGTCCCAGTCTGGTGTTGTGGGTGTAATGCCCACGTTCAAGATGCAATATTTTTGTTACTGGTTTTTGTTTTGCCACATGGTCTCTGATTCTTTCAAGTTGATTTTTTTTTTCCTCCTCTTTGTTCTCGTCTCTCACGCGAGGTTTTCCTTTAATGTTTAACAACCCTTGCAATGAAGAATGGCACACGAGGAAGCTACTGGGGAGTCTGAGTGTGCAGACAGACTGGCCCGGCAGCCGTGCGGCAGGGGGGCGGTCGGCCGGGCCCTTTTTGAGCAGCCCTGTTCTCTCAAGCTCACCAGCAGCCCCCGGGAGCGTCCTCCAGCCTGTGGGGAGGAGGCAGGCCTAGCTGGGTCTAGCTGCTGGCTGCAAGAGGTGAGGAAATCCATATTTAAAATCCGCTCTGCATACACTTCCTCATTCTCCCTGGCCTTGCCTCCCATTCCCCTGGGGTCCAGAGACCCTCATTTCTTTCTTCTCTTGAGAATGAGTCTCCAGGCTGGTGCTGGGATGGGGGGAGAGAGTCACCCAGTGACAGTGCCAGGAGAGGAGCACCAAGGGAGCTGCCTCCTGAACAGTGCAACCAGTCCTCTCTGCTAGCCCACCCCGTGCACACCCCGACGCAGAGGGACCCGGTGCCCCCGGTTGTCGAGCCTTAAGAAGATTCTGCCGTGTGGGTTGTGATGGTCCTGACTTTCCCCACTGCTGGCTTGGGGATCCTGCTCTCGTGGGCTTGTGGGGGCAATTTCTGTTGTCCATCTGCCTTCTGGCTTTTAGGATTGTGTTAGTTTTCCTCTCTCCTCATCTCCCCATCCCTTGAGTTCATGTTGAGGTTCTGACTGTAGAGAATTGTAGGTCGACACCTATTTTCTCTCTTCTCATGAGAAAGCCGATTCCGCTGTTTTCTGGGTTCTGTTTCTGCTGTTGAGAAGTCAGCCGTCAGTCCGACAGTTGCCCCTTTGAAGCCAGTGTTATTTTTCTGACTTATCTCTCCTTAAAAGATTTTTCTGCGCTTTTGGTATTCTGCGATGTCATTATGACCTGTCTTCTGTGTGGACTTCCTTTTATTTATCTAGCTTGGCATTCATTGGGCTTCCTGGATAGGGAATGATGTCTTTTCATCAATTTTGGAAAATTCTCAACCGTTACTCTTCAAATAATGCCTCTCACCATTCTCTCTCTTCACTTTCTGGGTCACAGGTTTTCTGCCTGCCAGACTTTATCACCACATCCTCCAAGTTTCCTTCCCGCCTCTGCCTTTCGTCCTTTTGTCTATCAGTGCTGCACACCTCATTGTTCCTTCTGCCCTAACTTGGAATTAATTGATTTCCTTTCAGTTATGTCTAATCCACTTTTAAAGCTGACCGATATCTTAATTTCGGTTACTGTATTTTTCTGTTCTAGGATTTCTATTTGGCTGTTTTTAAAATTGTGATGTCACATTGTATTTTATTTTTAAGTAGTCTCTACACCCAACATGGGGCTCAAACTCCAACCCCAAGGTCAAGAATCGCATGCCCTACCAGCTGAGCCAGCCAGGCTGTCATGTCACTTTTCATAATGGTTCCCGGTTCCCTGCTGAAAATGTCGAGCTTGGTTTTTATATCTTTTAGCATAGTAAGCACAGTGCCTTGCAGACTGTGTCTGATAACGGGTCCCTGTGGATCTGTTTCTATTTGTGTTTTCTGTTGATGCTCACTCATTGCTTTTTTCTCTTTGGTGCTTGATTACATTTGATAGTATGACTGACACATCTATATGAGGAAATAATCTGAAACTTAGAAGGAGATCTTTCTCTAGAGAGCATTTGTTTTTTGTTTTGTTTTGTTTCCTACCAGGTGCCAAGAGGCACTAAACATTTAGAACCAACATAATTCCATTTCAGAGCTTGAGATTTTCTGAAGCACCCAGATGATTCAAAGCCAAGGTCTATCTCACATCTGAATTTCTTCTCATTCACCTTATTCCCAAGGTACAACCAGTCCACTTATCCTGCTTACCTTGGTAAGCTTGTACTTCACCTTTTGCCTCCCTAACCCCCAAGGCTGTCAAAAGCATGGCTCATTTCTTGGCTACTTCTTTTAGGACTGGCAAACATCCCCACGAGAAACAGTTAGGCCAAAGCTGCTGTTAAGCTCATCTCTAGATTTCCAACCTCTCTTTGATCTTGGATCAGTAATGACTAACAATCGCTATCTTGTTAGCAGTTTAATGCTTTTAAGAAAAAAATACATTTGTCCATTTATTTTTCAGTTATCTTCAGTAGCAGAGTGGTTCAAATGACCACTGGCATAAAGACAGACAAACCAATGAAATAAGATACAATAGATAGCCCAGGAATAAACCCTTCCATATGTGGCCAAATGATTTCCAACAGTGGGGAAAAGACAGTCTCTTCAACAAATGTTGCCGGGAAAACTGGATATTCCCCTGCAAATGAATGAAGGTGGACCCTCACCTAACACCATCTAGAAAAATCAAAATGGACCAAAGACCTAACAGTAAGAGCAACAATTATAAAATTCTTAGAAGAAAATGTAGGATAAAATCTTAATGACATTGGATTTGTGATTTCTTGCATATGACACCA